CCCTTTTAAAAGGACAAATATATGATGTGTTTTAGTTGGTATCTAGAGGAAATACCTTGAAAATCAGTTGCCATGCTAGATTGAACAGTATAGAGCAATATGTGATTAAAATACCAAAAAGTGCAGGCTTTAGTAAGTCTGCAGGATAGGTGTAAAGGTCTGTGTGTTTTTATTTTACTTGGTGAGATTGCCTTTATTTATGTATTATCAAATTGATTTAAACTTTTTCTGTGAATTCATAATCTCCCAGCAGTGTTTTTGTTTTTGTGTAAGTGTTGATTTTGGACCACTTGAACAGCAAAATCATTGTAGGCTTGAATGTTTATTTTGTTTCATGGTAAACTTAGATATGAGAATAGGTACAAAGGTACTGGAAAAACTTGGGATATAAAATTGTCTCTTGTGTATACCACTAATGGGAAATATCATTTGGAATTACTTCTTGGAGACTTGGAGTCTTCTTGCATATGGTAATGAGAAAATATCATCTTCTGTCTTTAAAACAAGATAGCTTTTTTAATTGCTTGTATATGGAAGGACAGGCTGTTTTCCCTCATGTTCATTTTGCATTTTGCTTATTCCTCTCTCCTGGCACAAATTATGTCTCATAACATAGTTATTTGCATACATGGCTACTTGGCTCCTATTAGTTTCTTTAGAACAAGGTGAACCATAGCTTGCCTTTTATTTCTTTATATCCCCCACCTCCTGGAACAGAACCTTAAACACAAAAGGCAATCAGCATATGTCAGAATTGAGTAGTGGCAGATGTCTTTTCTTCATAATTGTTTCTGCTTTTCCCTGTTCTTTCCTCCATTTTTGTGTTTTTCTTTTTTGCTTCCTGTCTCCTTTATGATGCTGCTTAAAAGCACTTCTTAGGTTTGGTTCAAAAAGAATCATTGCATCAAGAATGTCTTTTTAGCCATTGGCTCTTAGCTGTTTTTGCTGTTGCTTATTTCTAAAAATAGTCTGGATGAACAAATCTAAGTGTTCAGCACTATTCTAATTCTAGATTATTGACTATATTGGAAAGTTTATATTTCATAAATAAACTTGTATGGCGCCCATCAGTTTTCAGAGAGTGGTCTGTGAACCTTTGGAGGGGGGGTCCCTCAGAGTCTCTCAGGGTGTCCATAAGGTCAAAACTATTGTCATAATTATATTGACATTACTCTCCTTTTCTCTATTGATATTTGCTCTGATGGTGCAAAAGCAATGGTAGAATGAATTAAGCATGAATTAAGGCGATGCTCCAAACTGTTCTCAAAGTCATTGTATTCTTAAAATTTTGTAAATGCCAGTTTCACTTAAAAAGTCCTTGATGAAGCAAAACAAATTATTCTTTTTATTAAATTTCAACTTATGAGATGTCTTTTTAAATGTGAAGTACCCTTTGTATACCACAGTACAACAATTATCTCAAGGGGAAGCATTTGAGCAATTGCTTTGAGTTAGCTAGTCATTTTTTTCATACAACACCATTTTTACTTTAAAGAATGACTGGTAAACTGTGGTTATAGAGACTTAGGTATTTGGCAGATATTTTCTCAAAAATGAACAAAGTGGGGCCAGCCTGGTGGCGCACTCGGTAGAGTGTGGCACTTGGGAGCGTGGTGGCGCTCCCGCTGAGGGTTCGGATCCCATATAGAGACCGGTCCGCTCACTGGTTGAGCACGGTGTGGGCGCGACACCGAGGGTTGCGATCCCGTTACTGGTCACGAAAAAAAAAAAAAATGAACAAAGTGATATCAAAGAACGCTACACGGTATTTATTGCCAGTGATAAAATTCCAGTTTTCAAAGGCAAGTTTGAATTTTGGAAAACTAGCATCCACAGCTGTGAATTTGATAGCTTTCAGATACTTAGACATTTCTAATGAGATCAGTGGTGATATTAACAAATGTAATTTTTTGGATGTAACATCATGAAATGGGTCAACATTTGGAAGATGGCATTACTCTTCTGGAAGTGTTACAGAATAATGCATGAGTTAAAGGTCCATTAAAGTGTAAGATAGACCAGTGCGTTTCAGTGTAACAGAATGCAAAATGTTTTTTCATGCAGTTTCAGATTCCACATTGCAACTAACCTTTAAGAAATTACTTACTGCCTGTCAAGTTTTGGTTTAGTATTAAATAATAATATCTACAGTAATCTAAAATGACTATGAAAATACTCCTCCCTTCTCCATCTACATAACTGTAGCATGATTTTTTCCATAAATCTAGACGAAAACAATATACTGAAATAAATTAAATGCAGAAACAGATATGAGAATCCCCCTATCTTCTATTAAATCAGAGATTTTCAAAAATGTAAAACAATGCCACTCTTCTCAGAAAATTATTTGGGAGGATATAGTTTTCATAAATATATGTTATTTACATTAATAGATAAAGAATTTGGTTTTTTTAATAAATATTTAAACATTTTGCTTTCTAATATGGTAAGTATCGTGGATATCACCAACATAAGCAAACACTCTTTGGGGCCCTCAATTTTTAAGAGTAAGAAGGGGTCCTGAGTTTGAGATATTGTGTCATAACTTTTCCCTGACCCCATATTATACTAACCATTTTCTTTGTTAATTACTTGCCCATTGGGCTGTGAGGATGCCATTTAGTTCAGTACAGAATACATGTTTAATGTATATTGCATATCTGGTGAAAGCTCTTTTATGTATTTGAGTACATGCTGGGGAGTAAGCCAAAGTTTATTCTTTATCCTTTACTCTTTTTCTGTTCTGTTAACTAAGCACATTAATGGTTAATTTTTAAAATTGGCATGTCTTATCCATGTGTTTTGTACTACACTCTGTATAAAATAAGGGGAGAAAAGGTGACTATAGAATCATATTCAGGAAATTCTAATTTTCCTAATCTTCACTAATAAAATTTTTAGACTTCCATGTACTGGCCAGCCACTGGGAAAAATAACAATAATAATAATAATAATAATAATAATAATAATAATAATAATAATACAAATTTTAGACCTTCAACAGCTAAGCATTTAAATGTCTAGTTTTCGAAAGATTATTATTCATTTTGAATAAGGAGGCTTTTTAAAGAAAATTGTACAATTTAAATCATTTTTCTATAGGCCCTGAAGTATCAGAAAGTAAGACATTTTTATTAAAGTATTCAGCTGATAATGCATTTAGCTTTAGGTCAAATTTTTGATACAGTAAAGATGTAAATTTTTAGTTTTATGTATGTATGATTTGTGATACATCAGGAACACTTTGCAAAATCAGAGTCCGTGTACCCTTGTGTTTATTTTATAGGAGTTGGACTGTAATTACTTCACGTAACTATCAGAATTTTTAGTTGTCTTCATATTTATGGCAGTTAACATAGCTGTGATAATTCCAATACAGTTCGTCACCCAGGCTGCACTCAATGTTTATAAAACTGTTCTTTTGGGGAAAATATGATTTGCTTTTCAGTGTTGTTGCTAGGACTGCATTGTAGGAAGTAAAGAAATATTCGTGTTCTGGTGCCCTCCAGAGCAAATAGTAGTTAGGTAGTACTTGGTTAATGTTATTAACAAATATGGCATGTGAACCTCATAATAATGATTACGATATTTTTGTGACCCTCTGTGGGAGAGGCTCAGACTCAGATTTCAGATCTGCTACTTCTTCCTTTATGACTTCAGGCAGGTTACTTTTTCTCTCTAAACTTTGATTTATCTCTAAAATGGTGATATATTATGTATCCCTTGGAGCTGTGATGAGAACTAAATGTTTATTATACTTGAGGATTTGATAATGACCTAGAAAGTAGTTAATGGCAGCTATTTTTGCCTTTCAACTAAATATTTATCTGGTTATTGCTTTTTAAAATTAATTAACTCACTAGACCAGTGCACTATTTTTACTTTATTATGAATTCCTTAAATCTGATCTCTTCCTCCTAGAATATATAAAAGAAAAAGGTGGCTTTATTGGGAGAAGGGAGAATAATTTTGGAACTCACCCCTCAGAGAGAAGAGATCTTGGTATAATACTTTACTGACTTGTTTTACACAGATAGATGATACCAACTGTATTAGTTTTCTAGGATTGTCATAACCAAGTACCACAAAGTGGGTGACTTAAGTAACAGCGATTTATTTTCCCACAGTTCTGGAAGCTAGAAGTCCAAGTTGTTGGCAGGTTTCTTCTTAGGCCTCCCTCCTTAGCTTGGAAAGTGGCTGCCTTCCTACCATGTCTTCATAATGCCTTTCTTCTTTTTGCATCCCTCATGTCTGTCCCTTTTCTTATAAGTTAACCAGTCATATTGGACAAGAGCCCAACCTATATACCTTATTTTAACCTACAGTCACATAGGGCTTACCTTTATGCCCTCATTTAATAATAATTACCTCTCTAAAGGACCTGTCTCCGAATAGAGTTATATCGAAGTACTGGTGGTTGGGACTTCAGCATATGAATGGGGGCAGGAAGGGGACATAATTCAGCCCATAATATCAACATGTACATAAAAGCTAATATTTATGGGATGGTGGCTATGTGCCAGTTATTGAACTAAATGCTTTACGTATATCATCTGATTTTATATGCCTATTAGCTCTGTGACTGTTAGTATCTGTATTTTACAGATGAGGAAACTAAGGCTTAGACAGATTTAAGTAACAAGACTAGGACTGAATTGGAATGTGAGTCTTTTTGGGCTCTGGTGTCCATGCTGTCTCAGGCAAGAACCAAGAAATAGAAAATAAAAGCACAGAGAAAAGGATTAGAATATAAAACACAAACCTATGTGTGTTTTGCAGTTTCCACTAAGGTCTTGCAACCTGTAAAATAGAAAATCATTTTGCCTCAGCCCTGGTTTGACTATTAATTTTTTATTTAAAAAGTGATAGGAATTTTTGGTTTTAGAATGGAAAAAGGTAATAAAATTAGAGATTTTTAATCCATGATTGTAATTATCAAAAACAAATTTGTTTTATTTTCAAGTTGATCAAAATGCCTTTCTTCTTTTTTTCTTTTGCAGAAGATTCTAGTGTTCCAGAAACTCCAGATAATGAAAGAAAATCAAGTATATCATATTTCAAGAATCAAAGAGGAATACAGTATATTGATTTGTCTTCTGATAGTGAAGATGTTGTTTCCCCAAATTGCTCCAATACAGCTCAAGAGAAAAAATTCAACAAAGACACAGTGATTATAGTGTAAGCCACTTAATAGATTCATTATATTTCCACATCAAGAGATTTTTCACGAAAAGGTTACTTAATTTGAAATCTTTTGATGACTTCTCTTTTTTTATGCCTTTCTCAACCACATCTTGGTTATTTTTCCCTAACATGTAAACATGGCAAGGTATAATGTGTGTGTGTGTTTTCTGGATGATTTTCAATAAAAGGCTTAGTGAGAGCAGATATTTAATTTTTTAAATCCTCCATAGGTAGGAAAATTATTTCAACTAGTACCTTTGATCATCTATAACTGCTTTATGATTTATTCTTCAGTCCGTGAGTCAAATCATTTTAGTATATCTATTGGGCACATTCTATTAGCTAGGTACTATTTTACGATTAGGAGTACAGCAGTGAACAAACAAGCCCCAAATCCCTGCCCTCACAGAACTTATATTCCAGTCAGGTAGAAAGGTAGTAAACAAATAAGACATGTAGTATGTCAAAGAATAAGTTAATGGGCAAAAGAGAAATAGGGAGTTCTGGGCCAGGGCATGGTTTCTATAGAGCGTGTTTGGAAAGGCTTCATTGAAAGGTGATGCTGGAATAAAGACTTAAAGCAGGTAAGAAAGTGAACCATGTCGTTATGGGGGAAAGCATATTCTAGGCATTGGGAATAGCATGTTCAACAATGACCTTGAAGGTGGTATTATGCCTGGTGTTTTTGAGGAAAGTGGGAGGCAAGTGATTCAGAGTGAAGGGTTTGAGGTCACAGTGTAAAGGATGAGGTAGAGAAGGGCTTAATCATGTTAGGTCTGTAGGCTTTTTGGTTTTTATTCTCAATAAGATGGGAAGTCCATGGAGAATATTGAGCAGAGGAGTGAAATGATCGGACTGAGATGTTCAAAAGGTCTTTATGGCTATAGGGGAGCAGTAGTAGAAGCGTGAATATTGTAATAACCCAGCAAAAAATGATGGAGACTTATACCATGATAATGCATGTTTAAGGGATAAGAAGTGGTTAGATTCTGGACATACTTTGAAGGTAGAGTAGCGAGGATTTGTTGACAGATTTCATGTGGGGTGGGAAAAAAGGAATCAAAAATGACCCTAAGATTTTTTGCCTGAGTAACTAACTGAAAGGATGGAGTTCCTATTTACTGAGATAAGGAAGACTTTCTAATCGGGGTGGGGGAACACCTTGTGAAGAAAAGTCAACAGTTCAGGCCTGAACATGCTGTGATTGAGAAGACTCTTAGACATCTAAGTGGAGATGTCAAGTAAGTAATTGTATTTGTGACATTTGATTTCTAGGGAGTAGTCTAGGTTGCATGTCTAAAATGACTAAGGGACACTAATGTGTACAGCAAGAGAAGAGAAGATGTATTGGTTGAACACTTAAGCCAGGGGAACTCTGAACTCTGGATTTTAGGATCAGGGAGATGAGAAGAACTCTGTAGAAGGTTCTGAGAGAGAGCAGCCATTAAGGTAAGAGAAAAGTCAGAAGGTTATGTGGTCTTCTAGAAGCTAAGTGAAGAAAGTGTTGCAAAAAGTGAGAGATCAGGACTGTCTACTGCTGATGATAAGATGAGGACTTCTTCTTAAACTGAATTTTTCAAACAAAGCCATTATAAACATGCCTTATTCTGAAATTCATTTCAAAATGAAAAACAGTGAACATTCTGCATAGTTAATCCTGAGAAAATGGATATATTAGCACACACACCCTTTTTTTTTTTAACTTTTATTTCAAAAATTTTTTTTAACTTATAGAAAAACTATAAAAATAATGTAATCAACTCCCACAGTCCTTTCGAGAAGAATCACCCATTGTTAACATTTCCCCACATTTGCTTTATTATAACATTAATTATTCAGTTATTACTGAACCACTTGCCTTCAATACTTTCACATTGATTTAAGAACAAGATTATTCATTTACTTACATAGTAACAGTAGTATTTTAAATTCAGAAATAACAATTTACATCAATATGATACTGTTATCTAGTATACAGTCCATGTTTCAATTTTACCACTTGTCTCAGCAATGTCCATTATAGCATTGCTACTCAAAGTTCTGGTTTGTAAATAAGGAATATGCTCTAGAATGTAAATCATGGTACTAATACCTTCACCAAGAAAGTCTTGCATTGGGAAAAGAAAAAAATCAGCTGTTGTGCTTAGTAATGTAGTTATTTTACCTTCTGGTACAGTTGGAGTTGGAGGACTGAAACCGTGGACCATATTTTGAGTAATATTTTACAATAATTTTTTCTCCAAGACCATAAATTAGATTTGGTTTGTCATATCTCTTTAATATAATTTAATCCAAAACAGCTTCTCAGCCCTTTTTGTTTTTCATGATACTGACTTTTGAAGAGAACAGGCCAATTTTTTTTAGGATGCCTCTAAATTTGGGTTGACTTGATGTTTCTTCATAATTAAATTTAGGTTAAATGGGAGGAATACCGCATAAACAATGTTGTGTCCTTCTCAGTGTACTGTATTAAGAGGCACATGATATCCATTTGTCCCATTATTGGTGAAGTGAACTTTGACCACTCAGTAAACATAGTTTCTGCCAGATTTCTCCTATAAAGTTACCATTTCTCTTTGTAATGATTAAGTAATCTGTAGAGAGACTTTGAGACTGGTTAATGATCCTGTTCTCTAGCCAACTTCCACCCAGTAATTTTAGCATCTAATCATTTTGCCTGATTCATTTTTGACAATCATGGTTGCAAAGTGGTGATATTCTAACTGGCATTTAAGAACTTATGGTTTTATTATTTGGTATTCTACTGTAAATAAGTTTTCCCTTTTCTCCCCATTTATTCATTTATTTATGTACTTATGTACAGTAAATATGAAAATGGAATCATAGATATTTATTCAGTGGGTTATAATCCACTGCTATCATTATTAATTTTGATGCATAAATTGCTCAGTTTTGGCAGATGAGGGCCCCTTCACGTAGTCTGTTGTGTCTGAGAGGTGTTTAGCATTTTTTGAGTCATTCCCTTCTACCAAAAGATGTTCCTGACTTGTACTTTCCCTACCCCAGGCTTGAAATTAGAATTAGCCCTTTCTCATAGCTTTGGTTCTTTTTAATAGGGAATGGTATTTCAGAATCTGGGGACTAGATGTGTTCTTTGCTGCTTTATGCCATTGCCTTTTCAGCGGAACAAGCTAGGAGATGGGGGAAAGGGGCACAGGCATCAGATAGAGGTAGGAAGGGAGAAGGGAAAATGTATATAACTTCTTTCTTTTTTTTAATTTATTTATACCGATTCTGTTAATTCTAACTTGTCACTGAAGGGCTTGTCCTTGCCTTTCATTTTGTATTTTCTTCTGACAGTGAGAACCCTGACTTCCTCCAGTATCAATATAATTACTGATTTGCTCAGTCATCAAGTATGCATAAAATAGTTTTAGAATTGCTATACCCATATCACTTGACCATTAAGCCCACTGAGATTTGTTTATAAGGGTTTTTTTGGTTTTGGGGGGTTTTTTGGGGTTTTTTTTTTTTTTTTTTTTTGTCTTTAGATTGACATTATATAGTCAAAGCACTTTGATTATGAGTTTATTTATTTATTTAAAATTTTCTTTGTGTTATTTATATAAAATACAGTTAGGTTCTTCAGTTTCTGTTTGTAATTTTTTTAAGGGTTTTTAACCTTGTTCCTTTTCTTCTTTATTTTACTTTCAAAATTAACAAGTTTCCAAAGATCAAAATTCTACAAAGGATGTACTCAGAATAGTATCACTCCCTCACCTATTCTTTCTCCATTCCATCCCCACGCCTTTTCCACCTCAGAACTAACCAGTTTGTTTAGTTTCTTGTCATGCTTTGGGTTTTTTTAGTGTATCTTTTTTTCTTCTTGTTTCTTACACAAAAGATAGCAGACTACAGGTGCGTGCCTTCATTTGTTCATTGTTTTATTCACTTAGCAGTAGATATATCCTAGAAATCATATCAGTTCTTAGATATCTTTATTCTTTTTTATAACTTTATGGTAAACTGCATTGTGTGGATGTTCCCCAGTGTATATCTCAATTCTCATGCATGGCATTTTAGTTTTCAGGTGTTTTTAAACCTTGACATTGTTGATATTTGGGACCAGGTAATTCTTTGTTGTGAGGCACTGTCCTGTACATTGTAGGATGGTTAGTTTATCATCTCTGACCTCTACCCACTCACTAGTTGCCAGTAGCAACTCCCTAGTCAAGACAATGAAAAATCTCTCTGCACATTGCCAAATGTCTTCTGGCAACAAAATCAACCCCCTTTTGAGAACCACTGATATAAATATCAGTTGGAAACTGGCAATTGATAAAATCTCCCAGGAAGTGTTTTATAGACAACAAAGAACTGCAATTCAAGACGGTGAACAAAGAAAGAAGAGCCTGTTACAGAGATTAAGAAGAAAGACTGAGAGGTCAAAGGAAAATCAGAAGAAGTGTCACAGACCCATGGGGTGGGGGTAGGGCCAGGACCACATTTCCAAGGATAGATTTGTCAACAGTGTATGGGATCACAGAGGAAAACTTAAATAAACAATGAAAAGTTTTTATCATGGCAGTTTAGAGGACACTATTATCTTTGGCAGTGTAGAGGACACTATTATCTTTAGGGAGAGCAGTTTCACTAAAGTGGTAGTACAAAAGATACAAAAGTAGTAAGTTGAGAAGTACATAGGAAACGAGCAAACAGAAAGTCATTCTAATAAAATATGTGAAGTAGAGAAGAATTTACTTTTACTACTGTATCTGCAGTGCCTGGAACCTCTGGCACATTGAATTAATTAATGAATGTAGTTTTTAATGCATCGTATGCTTGGGAGGAAGGGCTTATGAGAAAGAAAAGATTTAGGAGAGATTAGTTAAAGCATAGTTGTAGACGGTTAAAGCAAAGTCCTATAGGAAGTAGAAAGGACTAGAATTAGAATCCCCTAGCACTGAGAGGGGACTTTGCCTTCAACAAGAAGGAACTTCTTTATGTGAAACTGGATAAAAGATCAAGTGATCAACGCTGTTGTGCTTACAGGTTTTGTTCTTTTATTTTAAAATTTTCAAACATACTAGAAAATAAAATAGTATATAATGAACACCCATATACATACCACCTAGATTTAATGATTGTTTTCCCTGTTTGTTCGTCGTTGCAACTATTATTATTTTTGGCTGAAGTATTTTAAAGAAAATTACAGATACTCCAACATTTCTCCCCTTAATACTTGGTTATACATCCTCCTTCCTGTCAAAAAAAATCAATATTATTAATGAACATTCTCTAATATCTTCTACTTTATGTTCAGATTTTTTGTATTTTATAGTTGGTTTTTTAAGCCAGGATCCAAATAAGGAACAATACTGCATTTGGATGTTGTGACTTAACTCTTAATCTAGGACAGTTCACTTCCCTCCCCTCCCCTCTTCTTTTTTAAAGACTTTAACTTATTGAAGAGATTAAGTCTTTGCTTAGAGAAAATAGATTTTTCTGTTTCTTTATGGTGTTATTGAATTTGTTGCTTTATTACTTGTATTTCTTGCAAACTAGAAGTTAAATCCAAGGCATGGTAAAATTAGTGGTCGAAATGAATACTTACTACATCAGGAGTTACATGAGTTTGTCCCACTATGAATTGTCATGAGTCTGATCACTAGGTAGAGATTTTGACATCCATAAAAGTATAGATCTTTGAAATTGGTTATCCAGGGCAGGAGTTGTAAAAGGATTCCAACGTGGATGCTTTCATTTTCTTGGTGAACTAGGAGAAGTCAGGTAGGGAGCAGTAGTGGGGCAGAATGTGAATTCACAGTTGAAGAATGAGAAATCTGGGTATAATAATGTAATGGAGGCACGTGTAATAGTCTTCAAATATTTGAAGGACAGGCACAGTGGTAAAGGAAGATATTTATTTATCTTATTACTTTAGAGCATCTTCTCAGAGCAGAGTTCAAGAAGTCAACCTAGAAGCTTGTGAAAATACATATTCCTGGTCTTTGGGAATTTGCTTTTAAATGTTAAGTGATTCTTAGGCATCAGCAGTGCCCTAAAGGACATACATGATTAGGTATAGAGAAGTTACTAAAATGTATATTCTGGGTATAAGTCTAAGAGAGCTGTCCAAAAATAGAATTAGCTGCATAACAAACTGCGTTTGCTGACATTAGGAATATACTTAACTGTATTCCCACCTTGCTGTTTTTCTCTGATCTTTATGACTTTTCCCCATTTGTTATTGCTCTAGTTGTGATCTCTAGAATACCTGCTGTGTTAGAAAATTAAAATCTCAAAATGAGGGTTTTTTTGTTTGGGGGATAAATGAGTAAAATTTGACTACAAATGCCTGTTATATAGGATAAACATACAAAGTGAAATGCAAAAGGATTAGTGTTAGTTGTTGGAGAATAAACCCTCATATGGAAAAATGTTCCCTGTTTTTTGAGGAAATGTTTTGTTCCTGGCAGAGATTCTTGTGTTGAATGGGATCATTCCAATTTTGACACTTAGATTCTGGTCACCTTGGAAAGCCATGAAAATTCTTTTATCTTTGTGTCAGAGTAAGCTTTATAATTTCTCAGGAGCAGCATGACAGCATCTTCTGATATGCAGAGATCATTGGTAAAAGATTAGGAAAGAGAAAGTGGGCATGCAGTAAATGTGTATGGGTCTTAACAGAAATACATGCCAAGTAGTTCCCTTTGTTTTTCCAATCCCAGCTCAAATAATTTTAAGATTTTTTTCAAATATGCTGACTTTGATAATGTAGATTTGAAATGAAAAAAAGTTTTTTCCTCTTTGACAAGTATAAATTGTGTTTATTTTAACTTTATTTCCTTTTTTTGTTGGCTGGCAAGTACAGGGATCTGAACCTGTGACCTTGGTGTTAATAAGGGTGTGCTCTAACCAACTGAGCTAATCAGGCAGCCCTAGATTGCATTTAATATTGAAAAGAACTGCAGATGTGCTGTATTATGTATAAACAACATAGTGAAATAACATTAGCAATACATTTTAAATGTTTTTTTTCCCCACTGAAAATATTTTTAGTTCTGAACCATCTGAAGACGAAGAGTCCCAAGGCCTTCCCACCATGGCACATAGAAATAATGATGATATTTCAGAATTGGAAGACCTTTCGGAATTGGAAGATCTTAAAGATGCTAAACTACAGACCTTGAAAGAACTTTTTCCACAAAGAAGTGACAATGATTTACTTAAGGTTATACCTTTTATAGTAATTGGTTGTTGTAGCTGTAATGATGATAAATATCTCTCCCATATCCAGTGCTGTAGTCGGTGGTGGATAGTTATTCTGAACGTTTTATATAAAGAGAATCACATAATATGTGATATTTAGCTTCCAATAGAAAAAACATGATGGAGTATTAAAGTATTCAGCATAAAGGAACAAATCTCAATTTAACAATACTTCAGCGTGTTTGCCTTTTTTGTAATGTAGTTAAAAGGGATTTTTTGTAGAAATTTTTTTCTCTAATTTTATAATTTCAATGGGAAAATAGAATTGATATGCACAAGTTCTCTGAATGTTTCATTAATCATTATCTGAAATTGTGGGAATTTAACACATCACTCATTCCAAAGCAGAACACTCTTGAAATAATCTGTATTTCAAGGGATTTAAAGGTGATGTTTATAAATTACTCCACAAAAGTTTTTAAACCTGTATACAAAAATTCAAGTTGTGAAATACAGATTTAGTTCTGGGCTTGACTATTTTGGTGGTTTTTTGGATTTTTTGCTTTGTTTTTAAAAGATGACCGGTAAGGGGATCTTAACCCTTGACTTGATGTTGTGAGCACCACGCTCTCCCAAGTGAACTAACCGGCCATTCCTATATAGTGATCTGAACCCATGGCCTTGGTATTATCAGCACCACCCACTCCCAAGTGAGCCACGGGCCAGCCCTTGCCTTGGCTATTTTGAAAATGAAGTGGGGCTTATAGAATATCTGAAGATCCATGGGCCGGCCCAGTGGCGCACTGGAGAGTGCGCCGTCTGGGAGCGCGGCGGCGCTCCCGCCGAGGGTTCGGATCCCATGTGGAGACCGGTTCCCGCTCACTGGTTGAGCGCGGTGCGGGCGCAACACCGAGGGTTGCGATCCCGTTGCCGGTCAGTAAAAAAGATTTTAAAAAAAGGAAAAAAAAAAAAAGAATATCTGAAGATCCAAGATTAGGAATTACTAGAATGGAAGAGAGCACTCTCATGTTTGATTTGAGGTTATTTGATTTAATACAAAAATAGCTTATTAAAAAAAAAAGTAACTCATTAGAAATACAGACAATTATAGCAAAGAAGAGTAGGGTATATTTCATTTCTTCTGAAATCTAAAATTACTGAAATAGAGTGAAAATTAAGAGCTCTTTATCCCATTCTTAAGAAGTATTAGATTTAAAAAGCAAAATTTTACTTTTTTTCCTCTGGAAATTAAAAAGGGAATGAAAATGAGTGTCAATCTCCCTCCCTTTCTCTCTCTCTCTTTTTCTCTACATATGGTTATGTTTTAATTTTCCTTTAGTGATGATGAGTAAATCTAACACATTTTAGGATATACCTTACATAAGTTTAGATTTTTTACAGATTTTCTGAACATTTATCATAGGACTTAATGAACTCGACTGTGACACACACTTTCCCCCACCTTGTATGTATTTAATACATTTGATTTTAAATATTTTAATTACTTTGTGAAATTATTCTTAAGTCGTTATTTTTAAATCAAGAATGTTTTCTTATTCTGTTAGTTGATCGAATCCACAAGTACTATGGATGGAGCGATTGCTGCTGCCTTGCTGATGTTTGGTGATGCAGGTATGCCTGACTTAGTTATGTTGATTAATTAGTTATATAATAATAATATCTTTTTTGTTAATATTGCTCTAATTTACAAAGCACCTTCATGAATTATTACAAGAACCTAAGAAGTTTTAATAACTTCAGTTTTTTTAGTTGGAGAAACAAGCTTAAGAAGGTTAAGTAACTTACCTGAGGTCATACAGCTATTTGGAAGCCAAATTTTTTGGTTTTTTTTTTTTTTTTTTCTTTCAAAAAAGGCAGGGAACAATTTCTCATTGGTAATTTTGCTTGATTTTTGCAGATCAAATCTCATAACAGTGAAGTTTTAGAAGGTGTATTTTCTTTCTTAGGTATCCTTTCTGATTGCATTGTGGTTTTATTTTTATAGGTCTACAAATCTGAGTCAGTAGGAATATAATGTCTTAAGGAAAGTCCTAGCTGATAATCAGCATTCCTTTATTTAGTAAATATTTATGTTATACTTTGGGCTTGGGATACAAAAATGCATTTGAAGGAGCTTGCAATATAAAAGCATCTCTAATTTTTTAGTAAATGCTGTCTTGATTTTTTTTAACTTGCACATATCAGAAAAATATATCCAGTAAAAATTACCTGTAATTCTACTAAAAAAGCATTTAAAGTAATGAAAATAAACCCACACTCCACTAAGCACTCTTAAATTTGCTTTGTATTATTCTCAACTTTTTCCTATGTTTACATACACCAGTGTATAACACACACATAGGTAAGTTACAAAATGTAAAAATACTGGTTTGCACTTCTTAAAAATCATTTAAATTTAAACCTCAGCTGAGTTTTTTCTTCTCATTCTTCTCATTCTTGCATCTTTCTTTCTTTCTTCCTTTCTTTTGTTCTTTCTTTTTTTCGTTTGTTCATTCTTTTTTTTTTTTTTTTGGCATATGGCCAGGACAGGGATCCAAACCCTCAACCATAGTGTTATAACATGAACACTCCAACCAGCTGAGTTCACCAGCCAGCCCTCTTGCACTGTACTTTCTTTCATAGTATTTCTTTTTTAAAAAATGTTAAATGGCAAATTACGAGGAACCAAGAAATCAGGATTTTTTTTGTTTTCTGAGTAATCTTCCATGCTGCACCTTGGAATGAACAGGACAGTCGTATCAGACATCTTTATTTTTAGTACAGTTCACGTTGAGGTAATGTATGAAATGACAGCTTTGTCTAACTTATAAGATAACTTTTTTTTAAAAAAAAAAAAAACAGAGATTTATTTAGTTTAACATCTCTCCTGATCTAATGAGAAAGAGATGTCAAAAGAAAACCGATGACATATACACAAGCACTCAACCCCACAAACCCAAATAACTAAAAGAAAAACGGGCAAAGTTCTGTTCAACAGGGAAAGTTATCTTCGCTTCTCGAAGATGTTTCCACGTCCCATTCCACGTCCTCTTCCTCTTGCAGCCACTTGAACCTTTAGAATAGCAGCTTTTCCCCAGTTGGCCCCTGAGCCTTGGTTTTTATTTTTCATGCTCTTTAACATCAGCGCATTTTTCAGCATGTCAGGCAAAATCAAAAAACGGATGTTGCTGCCTCGGATGTACACCTGCTCCATCTGTGCCACTCGGCCATCTCTGTACGTGACTGTGATGTTGGATATCTGGTAGTTCATGTTGCCCTCCACTTCAATGAGCTTCCCCCTATATACCTTGCTCGTGTTTGTCTGACATGTCACATTGTGGCCCTAGGCCTCATGCAGGACTTTAATCGGCACACCAATAGACATCTTGGCAGGAAGAGTATTTGGCTCCGGCCTCTTCTTCCTCCTCTTTGGTGTGGTGGCCAGTGCTGTGATCGTGAAGGCTTGAAGCCAAGAGAGCCTTCAGTATACTATGTCATTAAGGCAGGAAACTATTTTTGGCATTTTAGAACAATTTTCAAGAAAAAGCCTTTTTAAATACCTGTGAGCTATCTTGGACAGGTCCACGAATCATGACATTAGACATTAGTTTTACACAAATTGAAGTCTTTTATAGATAATGTCACTGTGTATTGGACAATAAGGGTATTTTTATGCAGTACCTTTTGAAAGTATTTATGAATAGTAAGTTTCAAAAGTAGAAAAATATATATCCAAAATTTTTAGCCTACTTTAGAAGGTAAAAATATGAATTTATTGATGTTGTCAGGAGTCGTCTCTCCAGTTTCTTCTTTTTAGAAAAGAATTAAGCGTGTCTTGGTGACATGGCATAAATTATCTAGTTTGATGCTTTGTTTCAGGCTTAAAATATTACTACCAGTGTTTGCTTAACCCCAAGAGTTATGAGTATATGGGTGATGATGAGGTGGTTGTATTTCCCTCTTTTTAAAGTGGATACTGGAAATTATTTGGTGTATGCAGAGTGCACGTTTACATTATGAAATGAATCAGGAGAAAACATTTAAGTATTTATACTAACATGATTACTGTGCTTTACGATGTTAATGACATTCAATTTTATTTGGTAATAGCCATGTTATGAAAATTTTAAGCTTACAACTTAAAAGCTGTCATGTATGTATTTATTAGTAGAGTATTGTATTTCTATAAATTTTCTTTCTAACTGTATAATTAGGGTTCTGAGGTAATTAATGCTGAAATCTTAAACCTTTGTAGGCTTTAGCAAGTACTTTCATATTAACACAGCAGTATGTCCAAGGAATCTGCTCTCTTCAAAGAGAAAGTACTTAAGAAATAGATAAATTCATGCAAAGTATATATATATATAGCATGGCTTCTTAAGATTATGTAGCTAAAGTTTGTTTTTCCTACAGTCATGACAGAATATAAGATTTCCTGTTTCTGTTATACTCTCTGTATTATACTTTCTTGTTTTTAGATTTAAAACATTAATCACTTAAGCTATCTATATCTCAGTTCCTCATTTGTAAAATAAAGACGTTACCTACTTTGTAGGTTTGTTGTGGAAACTAAATAAAATAACAGTTTATAAAAGACTTTGTGCAAAGCCTGGTATGTACACAGTAGACAATAATTATTGGTGTCAGTGATGCAATTCAGATAACTTAAACTGGATAGAGCTCAACTTTTTTTCATTGTGGAACGCTCAGCCGCTGTGGAGAACCCCACCCTCCCAGTATTACTCTGTAGAATTACTCATCAATGCAAAGGTGTATATTTTTAGCATTAAATAATAGTGTGATGGTTTAAGAATACAGTGTTACACTGATTTCTACTTGTGAAAGACTGCTAAGAATATCTGTCTACTTTTCCTTCAATTCAGTTAGGTAGAAGAAAGAACATTGGGCCTGAGAGCAAGAGAACTGTCTAGTATTCATTTTAACGCATTTCTGTCTTTGTTTTGCATTAAATTGATTCTTACTATTTCTGTGAAAAGTTTGAGTGTGTTTCTGTGTTTTAAAAGGTGGTGGTCCCAGGAAAAGAAAATTATCATCTTCTTCAGAGCTATATGAAGAAGATGAATTTAATGATGATCAATCTATAAAAAGGACAAGACTGGATCATGTAAGTTACATTTGAATTGCAGTATCAAAATTGGCTGCTTCAGCAAAGAGTATGTTGAGTGTGTGGATAGCAGACCTGAAAATCCACCTAAGTGAATCAATTTTTCTTCTCTTTTACAACTAAGTCAGGAACTTGTTTGCATATAATTTGGAACTGTTTTTTCTTTCTCTTTAAATTATCCAGTATTAATTGCTTATCTCTGAGTTATAAAATTAATTTTTAAAATATTCTTGTGGTGTGTTAAAGTTACTTTTTGAGAAAATACAATACTTTTAAGTTCTGTTTCATAAAAGTTGTATATACATGTGGTTCTACAACACATGTGAAAAACAGCTAACACCACCACCATTATTTCCTTCTCTACAGTGGCAACTATTTATAACTCTTCTACAGACTCCTTTGATGTTTAACTGCAAGTCTTAGTATGTTTGTGCTGCCAAAACAAAATTCCACAGAGTGGGTATTTATAAACAGTAGAAATTTCCTTCTGACAGTTCTGGAGGTTGGGAAGTCCAAGATCCAGCTGCCAGCATGTTAAGTTTCTCTGGTGAGGGCTGCTCTCTGCTTCCAAGGTGGCACCTTTTTGCTGCATTCTCAGGAGGGGTCCTCACATGGTAGAAGGGACCAAAAGGGGTGAATTCCCTTCATTAAACCCTTTTGTGAGGGCACCTAATCCCTAATCACTTCCTAAAAGGCCCCACTTCTTAATACCACCACAATAGGGATTACATTTCAACAGTTGAATTTTATTTTATTTATTTATTTATTTATTTAAAGATGACCGGTAAGGGGATCTTAACCCTTGGCTTGGTGTTGTCAGCACCACGCTCAGCCAATGAGCGAACCGGCCAACCCTATATGGGATCCGAACCCAGGGCCTTGGTGTTATCAGCACCGCACTCTCCCGAGTGAGCCACAGGCCGGCCCCAACAGTTGAATTTTAGAGAAGACATATTCAATCCATAGCACTGTATATCTATAAATAATAGTGCTTATGCTTTTATTGGGTTACTCTAGTTTTCTGTTAACTTCTGCTCTACAAACAGAACTACCAAGAGGCATCCCAATGAATCCAAATAGTTCTCCCTGTTTGAATTCTCAACAACACAATTTGTCCTTGGTAATCAAAATTAATTACCCCAATTAGCACAGTAACCTGTATAATTGCCTGTGATTCAGTGGTATAAGAAGCCCCAAATAGCAAGGAGACAAACCCTACCATAATTTAATGAGAATTGTGTCCTTGCATGGAAGCATTCTTTTCTTAGGAACTAATACTGATGGAAAGTAAAAATTTTGTGAGTGGGTTTTTAGGTCTGAGGGACTTAGCCCACATTTTAGGTTACAGATCTATGTGATAATGACTATGGGAGAGATTCAGCCTGCCACTAAACTGTTGGCTGAATCTCCCAAAGAAAGGTGCTATAATTGGGACTCATCGTTGTACTCTGTTCCTGGCATTTTGGGTACTCACCAGTAGCAATAGCCACATTAATCTTGCTGTGGGAAAATCTTCTCTTGTTGATCTGCACACACAGCCTCACTCCCTGTTGCCATGGCCATTTATATATGGGCCTATGAGCAAGCATCTGAGTGGCTGTGGTCTTATTGGTGTTCACTAAATGGACAGTCTTGTACACCTGATCTTTAAAAACTTCCTCTGCTGGGCCGGCCTGGTGGCGCACTGGAGAGTGCGCCGCTTGGGAGCACGGTGGCGCTCCCGCCGAGGGTTCGGATCCCATGTGGAGACCGGTTCCCGCTCAGCGCGGTGCGGGCGCAACACCGAGGGTTGCGATCCCATTACCGGTCAGTAAAAAAGACAAAAAGGAAAAAAAAAAAACTTCCTCTGCAGTTCACAGGCTTTGCTGGATATTCCTGTGAAACACTATTATTCTTTTATTCTGTTCTCAGGACAACTTCTGTTCTGAGAAGTTCGATAACGTACTTCCCCAGACTTCCTGGTCACTCATCTTCCAGTCTTGTTCTCCTTAGCCACTGTACCTCTGGCCATCTCTTTCTACACAAAATGGACAAGATATACTGCCCAAAGTTGTTCACAGGGCTACTCTCCTAAATGGGATTATATTATAGCATTTGTTCACTTTTGGCTGGTTCTAACGATTATGCAGATCCTTTATAAACTAAATTTAAGATTTTCCTCCCTCTTTAGCTGGTCATAAAGAAGTTCCCATAGTGCCATAGATACTGGTCAAAGAAGGGGCAGCAGTGAAGCAGAAGTAGGTGCCATGGGAGTGTGAGGCACATGCAATTTATTTGTATCTCTTCAACCTGCTTGAGACCAGTCTAAAATAACCATTTCTACTTGATGATGGGTTGCTGCTGCCAGTGTTCAGTTTTAGGTTTGGTGAATCAGATACCCAGATCACCTAACAGCTCAAGTCTCATAGTCATTTGACGTCCCATGTTCAACCATTCTGCTTCTATCAAGACCTATCAAGCCAGTAACTGTTTCGCAAAAATAGATCAGTCGGTTCTGTTTTAAAAATGTGAATTTGTTCCAGTGCTGTTGATATATTAGTGAACACTTTGAGTGTAACCCAAAAGTTGCGTTTGTTTATGTACAGTTTTGTCCATAAGAAATACTAGGTGAACACAGAAAACTGCACCCAATTGAACCAAGCCACATAGGAATACATAAAACACACAAATGTCATACATCTACTGGCTGTCTCATTTTACCATGTCTTATCCTACAAGGTTGTGTTTTACTATTCTTTAATATTTGTGAACATTCTTTTTGACAAAAGCACTCATTTAATTTCCCAAACCTGTTTAAGCATTCTGGTTGAAAACTGCTGTGTAGTGCATGCAAAAGGAATGTTTTAAGTATTAAGGAAAATCTTGAAACAAAAAAAATGTTTGAAAATGAGAACATGTGGTAGATGCTGAGCAACTGGCATAAAGTAATTCATGTTGTGGACCATTAGAGATAATGCCACAAAAATAAAAGTATATGGCTGGATCAGCTTCAGGTGCTTTGAAATCAATAAGAATAAGGTGTAAAGAAACAGAAGAAAAGGAAAGATTGTTGAACATTAGGATTCAAGACCAAAGAGTAAAATAAATCAGGAACAGCCTTTCTCACATAGAATTTGAAATTTATAGATGGGTATAAAATTATGACCACAGATGTGATATTTGTATCTTTTTTTTTTTTATTTGCCATTAACTTGGAAAAGACTTCAGTATATATGAATTATATAAGTTAATCTGAGGAACATTCTAGTTTTTTTTTATCAGATTTATCTCACATTGAGCACTGTGAATAAAGTTTGAGTTATTGGATATGCAGTCAAGGTCTTGGAGTGATCTTATGTTAGTAGTATTTTTTATCCTTAAAAACATAAATTTGTCAGTGTTCACATGAACGTGAAATATTTTGGGTTCTTCTGATTGAATGTGATAATTTTCAAATCAAGTCAAATATAGCTGTAATTGCCTTAGTACCATTGCTGTTGATAATCTCTTACATTGTCTTTTTTCCCCCCCTTGTCATCAGGAAGAGGAATCAAATGAGTCTGCAGAATCTAGCAGTAACTGGGAAAAGCAGGAAAGTATTGTACTGAAATTGCAAAAAGAATTTCCCAATTTTGATAAACAGGTGAGTAGTCATGTATAGAAATATAATCAGTGTGCACTAAATGTTTGTATTACAAAAATAGTGTTTGATTTCAACCATGTAAAAGCTTAGGATGAGTTTTGCATTTTTCTAATTGTGTTCTTTAATTAGTGTTACAAAGTATTGTTTGTTAATTCTTTACATTGTTTATTTACCATGTTTACTATTTAATAGTATCCACATAATAACCATAGTCATAACAAACATAATCATAATAAAAGTTGTGAACTCATGTATAAAATGTAAATCATTTAAAAAGCCATTTGTAACCCTGCACCCTGTCAGGTAACTGCTTAGTTTTTTTCATGTTCTCATCCTTGAAATTTCTCTTAAAAAATTAAAGTGTAATATTGCAAAAGTGTCTTAACATTTCATAATCTTTGTTGTATTTCCCAGATAGTAAGAATACTTTCATGGTCATTAAAGACCCAGGCCAAGCATGCCAGTGCTCAAAGTGCCCCTGTTTTACCGTGATCATATGTAGAAGAACATGTTGATTGAACATTTGGAATACATTTATACTTGCTCTGATTTATTTGAGTATATGAATTCTGATGAGCTTAATGCAAAATCTTGTATTACACTGGTTCTTTATGAATGTTGAAAGTACCTAGTTTGAAGTTTGTAGCTTGTAAAAAGCTTAGTTGCATGTTGAAGTTTTATTTTTAAATGAGCAAACTTTTCTTGATCCTCTACTATTCAGAGCACTTCATAGGGAATTAAAAATGCAAAAAAAGTCAAGCTTACTTCCTTTCAAACACTATTGTATATTTGCAGACAAAATTACATAGAAAGCTTTTGCAAAGCAGCATAAAAACAAATGTCAAATAATCAGATATGTTCTCTATGTTTTTAGGTGATACATTTTATGATCTTTTAAAAATAAGTTATGGAAAAATTGCTAATTTGAGATTTTTAACAAAACGATCAATGACTTATTTCCAGGAACTAAGGGAAGTACTCAAGGAACATGAATGGATGTATACAGAAGCTTTAGAGTCTCTAAAAGTGTTTGCAGAAGACCAAGGTAATTATCTATTCTGTGTCTTAGAAAATACACACTTCACATTACATCCTGTATTTTAGTATATAAGAAAATAGTAAACCTATTAGTTATTAATCAAAGAATGGGATTGCAAAAGGTGTTGGAAGTAATGGTGTAAAAATTTTTTTAAATGACTAGTTTCTAAATGTTTTGACCTGTTCTTTATGATACTGTCAAACAAAACAATAAATATCTTGTTCTATTTGGCCAGTTTCTCTTGATAGTTAAGGCTACTTTTAAACTGCCATGTTTTATTGAGTATTAAAGAAACATTTTTTACATTTTAACAGCTCTCAGTCAGGATGGATCTCGTGACTTGTGATATCTTACAATCACTGTAATGCAGACATCTTAGCCTGTACTTCCATGAGTACTAGTATTAAAAACTTATGGGTATCATAGGCATGGAACAAAGTCTGTGAATCCATAGTGGAACACTGAACTCTAGGAACCAAATGGTAAAGGAGAGGTGGTAGGAAAGTTGAATCACACATGTTTAGTGACATCCCTAAGTAAGAATCAAGTAGACTAGCTCTTCATAACTGTAAACCCAGCTTTAAAAGCCCAGCACAGTGGCTTGGGTGTTCTTTTTTTTAATGAATTCTTTTAAGAAATGCAGTACTACCAATAATCTTGATGGCACAGAGAATGATATTGTACAGAAAAAAGAAAACCACCAATATAACCAATTTTAAGTCTAAAAAATAATTCAGAATAGTAAGGTTATGAATGTGAAGAAATTTGAGGAATACCTTATCTATTTTGCTTATATCTTTTATATATGCACTAGAATGAATGGGCGTGTGTAAATGTAAAGGTTTTTTGAGTAAGTTTAACAAAAATTCTAAATAAAGTATTGCATTATAGATTAATTGTGGTGTGTATTTTGTTACTTGTCCATAAAATAACAATGTACCTTTATCCATAGCCACCTTAGAATTTTATGAAATGTGATAGATTTAGACAGTGGCAAAGTAGTGGCGCTTTTTGATAATAATATATTTAAATTTTTTAAGTAATGGTAAACTTGGAATAGTAGAGATAGTGATGGAAAAATTAATTTTTATATGGATAGTTGAAACAGACCCTTTTATTAATAAGCTTCATAGTAGGATGAGCATTGTTTTGCTACACTCATCAGTGTTAGCATAGAGGATAGAGCTACTAAGTAGCATCTGAGATATCTTATGGATGTGAACTTACCATTTATTTTCTCAGGGCTTTTGTTAGAAAATGGAAACTTACATTTAATTCATTTTAAAAAAACAAGTTGTCACCTGCTTTTGAAACTAATTATTTTAACTTATTATATAACTTCAAATTCTACTTCAGTTTTTCTCTTTAAAGTGTTTCAAGATTTAACAGTAGTTTGTAGTTGAATTCTTCTGTATTCAAAAGTAATATGAGTGCTCGCTTCAGCAGCACATACTAAAATTGGAATGATACAGAGAAGATTAGCATGGTCCCTGAGCAAAGATGACATGCACATTCGTGAAGCGTTCCATATTTTAAAAAGAAAGAAATACAGATATAGTTAAATATTTTTTATATCTTACTTGAAGTCTTATGTCTTTATATTTCATTTATATATTTCTAATTTAGTTACTGTTTATGCCTTTCTTTGTACACAGATATGCAATATGCTTCACAAAGTGAGGTTCCAAATGGAAAAGAAGTTTCTTCAAGGAGTCAGAATTATCCTAAAAATACAGCTAAGACAAAACTGAAACAGAAATTTTCCATGAAACCACAAAATGGTTTTAACAAGAAACGTAAAAAAAATGTATTTAATCCAAAGAGAGTCACTGAAGACTCTGAATATGATTCAGGTTCTGATGTCGGTAGTTCACTAGATGAGGACTATAGTAGTGGTGAAGAAGTGATGGAGGATGGCTATAAAGGTAAAATTCTTCACTTCCTTCAAGATGCTTCAATTGGTGAACTTACTTTGATTCCGCAGTGTTCTCAAAAAAAGGCTCAGAAGATAACAGAACTCCGGCCCTTTAATAGTTGGGAAGCTCTGGTAAGGCTACATTCTTTTTTTTTTTTTTTTACCCCTTGTGTGTGTGTGTTTAATTCACAGTACCGTTTATAGTCAAGTTGTCTTCAGCCCAGAGAAGCATAGATGGGTGGCCTTATTCTGTGTAGAGTCAAACATTACTTTCATTGTAAGCCAATAGTATTTCAAATAGTGTCATATGACCTAATTTTGAATGAATTAAGGGTGATTTTCCTGAAAAAACTCAAGCTGATTGGCTGGGAATACTGTCACTCATTCTTTTGCATAGAAACTTGGTTCATTTCACTGCAGAAGAAGAAATTAGAGCTTACATTTAGGAAGGAGTTGTTTGCTAGCCTGTTCTGATCTGTTACTGCTGAGACACCATGCACAAAGCAAGAATGTGGCAGATATTTTGCTACGACTACTTGAAGAGCAATAGCAACGTCCAGGGGAGCTCCATGATTCAAAATGCCAGCCCGAGTGTTTTATGCTTCACCACAAAAAAGCAAAGAAGCAGTTGTTTATTTTCTTTTTCTTCTGAAAGTGACAGCTCAATCTCTGACATGTTTTTCTTGGTAAAACAACGCGGCCATTTTATGGAGTGTAGCAGGCTGCAGCGATTTTAATTAGAAAGATAGAAAAGTTTGTGGAAGCCTAGAATTCAAGCATTAGATAAAGGGAAGGCATTAACACTGGTAAGTACATTTTGCATGATCATTTTCTGGAATTTGATTTCCTATGAACAAGTTTTAACTAAAATACCTGCATTTTGAGTTGTATAAATGTGAATAGTCATCAAAACGTATTCATACAGAGAAAATCAGAACTATTTTAAATTTTGCTTTGTCTTTTTTAAGTATGTGGGCTTTTACAGCATGAATTGTGTATAGGCCCTGTTGTAAAAGCAATATGGATGATTTTTTTACAGCTTTAGAAGATGAAATGACTCTTGATGCTTTATAAAACGTTTTAGGAAGTTTTATTCCCTAAGATAGGGAGCAAAGTTGTTTTTGTTATTAATTTTATACTTGTATGATAAATCTAAATGAGCATAAGTGCCCTTGATAAGTATCTTGAAGTGGCGATAGGGGAGGATCCCTGAACAATGGTTATAAAAAGCATTTTTTTTTAATTAAAATATTTGAAAAATATAGAAACAACATTACTAGTATTTTGTAGTTTTAAAAAAATAAATAAACCATTTGTTTTGCCTGAAGCCTTTGCTTTTCCAGAGAACATCTGTCAAAGCAGGCCCTTTCAAAACTTGTTTGGCTTTGCCTGAGTGATTTATTTGTTAAAGTATTTGCTGAAGGGCTTTTTTGTTCTTCTTTTCTTCCTTTTCTTCTTTCTTTTAATCTTTAATGGTCTCCTATGTTATTGCAGAGTTGGGTTGCTCAGGCTTGTTGGGATTCTAATTTATTTAATAAGGAATGCAATTATCTGCATTAGTTTGTTTAGTCACTGTAACTACTTGCCCAGATATCTTATAGTAAAAGTAAATTATACAATTTTACTGGAGATCTATATGCCAGATGTTTTTAAAAATATTCAGCAACTTAACATGTAGAAAGCATATTTCCCCTACTAATTAATTGGCATAGTTTAAATTAGTCTTGACATGAATTTGGAGATTATGCATTACTTCTTAAACCTCCTAACATCTTGCCCCTTTGTAGAAGTTGAAAATAAAGACTATCTTGTATGTTCTAACCATCCATCCAAATGTTGAATATTTTATGTAACAGTTTAGAAGTACCTTAAAAGTAAACTTTCTACTTTTAGTTCAATGAATACGGTGGTTTGCTGTTTTGAGCAAAGTAGATAAATGATGAATTTTTGAAATTCATAGTTTAAATTAGCAAGTAAATGTATATAAGCTTTAAATTTTAATTTTCTTAGAACATTTAGCTTTAATAACTTTAGAATTCTGCATGTGACTGGTTTATAGAGCAATTTAATATCTTAACAAATCATCAAAGAAAAAGTGTTATGCACATTTTGTCAAAAAGCTATATGTATAATTTACTCCTTCCTCATTGATCAGTGAAATTTGATAATGTACTCTAAACAACTTTAAAAGGAAACAAAAGCAAAGAAAAACACCATTTTTGTTTTGATAGCTGCTATATTTAGAAATTCCTATGGGAATTAGTTGAGGTTTTAATCATGTTACTCAGTCATACTTTAATAAAAATTATAACGTATTATATATCAAAAACAAACTGAAGATATGTAGTTGATTTTCTTATAATTGTTGAAGAATATAGGCTAAAGGATTGGGGAATTTGGCAGAACTGTAAAACTGATAAATATTTCATCAAAAAATGCTTACTGGGTCCAGGAAACAAATACACAGACACATTTTAATTATGATTTTTGTTAAAAATGAAGTTTTTTTTAACAATGATAGTTATTAAATTATTAAATCTAATCATTAGTAGATTGTCTTATTTTATTGTAAAAGTAACTTAAATGTGAAAATTATATTAGCAGTGACTTTTAAACCAAAAGTTTTCTTTAAAAGTTGTAGATCATTGGTTTTTTTCCCCAAGGTATTACAAATACAATGCAATATAAGTCTAATATAATATGTAATATATAAAGTATAAGGATAATATGACATGCATATATAATATCTGCTACTTAATAATCTAATCACAATACTTGTAAATCTAGAGATAATACACTTTTCTATATTGTTACAACTTTTTTGGTCAGAGAATTATACTTTTTTTATTCTAGTCACCCTCACTTTACATGAGGAAAATTTGGTTATTTAAAACTAAAACCTAAGATGGTCTTTATGTTTGCAGCTTTATACTCATTCTTTTTTTTTGCCCTTTGAGTCAAAATTTAAATATTTGTTAAATTTTACTCATAATTTTTTCATTTTACTTAGTTTTTCTGCATAATAGCAGTAATGTAGGTGATCATTATAAGAAAACCACATCATAAATCTGGTATACATTGAAAACATAGCAAACCAAAAATGTTAAAGTTTAAAAATCTGTACTGTTAATGTGGTAAAATTGGAACTTTTATTGCCAAATTTCACATATTTGTTGGCATCAGTTCACCAATCCCTTATTGAATTTTTGTCTAGCCTTTTATGGTGGGGGATACTATTATTTCTGTGATAAATCTTATTATATTGCATCTTTATACATTAATCAGAATAATAATGTATTTTTACTGACCAATGTAACATTATGAGTAACTCAATGTATGAACAGCTCAACCCAAAAACTTTTTATATATGCATCTATTTTAACATTTAGATCCATGTAGAGCAAACCAGGTATAGTTCATGTTGGACCCTTTATACTCTTCATTATGCTACTTCCATGTACTAACTTATACCACAGATTTTCATTTTTTTGCTTTGTTTTGCCCCGTGATTTCTGTAAAAAGTCTGTCTAAGTCTGTCATTTAAAGCGTTGTAATGCGCAATTCTTCTCTTCAGACAGGGTGGCTTCATTAAATTTGTTTATAAGATTACTATCTCAGGCTTTGTTTTAATTTGTATAGGTTCATAAACTTATATTTAAAAAATTATAAGTGCATTCTGAGTACATTGTAGGCTGCCGTCAGGTATTTCTGTTAATGAATAAGATTAGCGCTCTGTCCTCGGGACTGATCCTTGTTAAGTGGGGGTTAAATAATTTGAGAATTAAATCTGCTTTTAAACAATTTCCCCCTTTCTATAGAAATTCGAAAATATTTGTATAATAAGAGTGACACACTGTGGCAAGAGAGGGGTACTTCAGTTGCTTACTCTGAAAGAAAAGTGCTTAGAGTGTTAACTTTTCTTAATTGAAGAGATAGTAATCAGCGTCATATTGATGATCTTTTTTTCATGTAATTATCCAGCAAGTAGCAACTGTTTTTTTCTTTTCTTCCCCCTGAAAAAATAGCTTGATCATTTTTTGAAAATGATTTGTTTTGCCTAAAATTGAAAGTACATGGAAGAGAGAAGAGAAAGCAAAGTTTACCCAAAATTCTACCAGATATCCCTACTTAGGACATTTTGAGCATCATCTATTTATGTATTCATTTGTATATTTCATACCATTTAAACAGGATTTTATTTTCTGTGCTCATCAAGAACTTCAGATTTACTAAAACGTTCTGCATTTACAGTGTATTTTGTGGTTCTTGGTGGTTCTTGTGTTAAGCTCAGTAATTTACAGGATTGTTAAATGGTTTTTGTGTTCAGAGAACAGTAACATGGCGCAGTTGAGTTTTCTTAGACTTTTCCTTAAGTGCCAACCCCACGGCTAGACCCCCCCCCCCCCCAAGAACTTCAGATTTACTAAAACGTTCTGCATTTACAGTGTATTTTGTGGTTCTTGGTGGTTCTTGTGTTAAGCTCAGTAATTTACAGGATTGTTAAATGGTTTTTGTGTTCAGAGAACAGTAACATGGCGCAGTTGAGTTTTCTTAGACTTTTCCTTAAGTGCCAACCCCCCGGCTAGACCCCCCCCCCCCCACTTAGTGAAGGTATTGTGGAAGAAAATATTGGGTTCTTATTACTTTTTTTATTAATGTTTTGATTTTTATTATTTATGCATGCACATAGATTAACAAGTTAAATAATTCTGTAGGCTTATTCCCTCCCCAAAATTCATATCCATCCCTTTCCCCAGCCTATTTTTCACACTGCAAATAACTGCTTTTGGCACTTTTGTGTGATTCTTCTTATTACCTCCATAACTCTAGGTAATATAATTATAATGCTGTTTTTCTTTGTCATTTGTAGGCCTCATCTATCAATGTAACATTATAGAGTAGTAGGATTTAGCTTTCTTCTGTCTACTGCACCTCACATGCCCATTTCCTGTTCCTCAGTCTTACTAATATATGTTAATAATATGGTAATTTTGAAGACCATTGTTAATGTCTACATTGTTATGACTATGTAAAAGCCTTTTATAGATGAGCCATGTAGTATAATACATGATTACTTTTCTATTCATGCTCAAAATTTTTTTTTTTTCCAATTCTTAGTTGTCTTGGTTTTT